TGTTGAGCATGGCCTGTGCACTCTTCCTGTGTTCTCTCGTGGAGTCCAATTAGCTATCCTAGTTGTTTTCTTGGGACTACAGGCTAATTGGTTTCTCTTAGACAATTGGAATGCTGCACTGCCACTCCTACAACTGTGAGACACTGGTTAGAGAAGTGATATATGTGATTTGAAAAATCAGTGATTGTGTAAATATGTAGTGCTACAATGCACCTCCTTCTTCAGTGTATAAATGTGTGAAATAAACAAGAATGCCAATGGTGCATACCATGTTGCAATGCACCTGTCTTAATAAGTGTAATCCTACAAACCAGAATATTGCACCGTACTACAATACACCTCTCTTAGATGAAAGTACTTGTGCAACATTCTATAGTAAAAAATGGCAGATGAGATACTTGTGATATAAATTATAAACCATAGGTGAGAACCCTTATGTAGCAAGCTGTGGGGACTACAACACACCTTCCCCTAAAAAAAACACACTAAATTAATAGTGCTGAATATAGACCAATGAGTTATGTGTTCACCGCGATCCGGTGCCTGCTGTCTCCGGACACCGATTGCTGTACGGGACCTCTGTGATCATGTGATCACTGATTGGCCAAGAGTCATGTGATCACTGATTGGCCAAGAGTTGTAAGCAAGATGTCACTTCTGACATCATTGCTTACTACATATGAAATCTGTGAATGGTCACAGAGGTCACATGGTACAAGGCTATTCACAACAGCCTTGTACCATGTGACAAGCTGTGACCAATCACAGCTCACACAGTATTTCTCAATGGCTGCAAGAATGCAGCCGGAGAAAAGGAGAAATGATTGCTTTTACAGCCTTTATGGGTGTAAAAGCAATCAGTGTAAAAAATAAAAATCTTCATAACCCCCCACAAGTAGTACAGTGTCACTATGGTGACACTGTACTGCTAGGGTGACAATATGGTAAAAAAAAAACCTAAATAATAATATAAAAAAATAAAATAAAAAATTTTATTTTTTTTAAAAAAAAATTATCATTTTTGTTGCATGACCGCGCAATTGTCATTCAAAGTGTGGTAGCGCTGAAAGCGGAAAATTGGCCTGGACAGGATGGGGGTGAAAGTGTCCAGACTTGAAGTGTTTAAAACTGTCATGTGATCTACTGTGTTTGGTCACAGCGATCACATGACACTGGCAGCAGGCCCATGGACACAGCCGGTGACAGATCGCACTGGTCCGTGGGGCACATGTGAGGCGTGATCCTAGGAGGGCATCATATGACATCCTATCAGGATAATAGGGGTCCCGCTTGGCCATCATCATACAAAAGGATGGATGGGAAGGAGTTAATGGGAAAAAGCATAGGAAATGTGCACATATTACACAGATGTATTGCGTGTTTATTTCATTTGTCCTGACATATGCTTTAAGCAATACCCCTCTTGTTGCCTTTTCATTTACCCTAGTTGATGTGTTGCAAATTCTGGATGTATTTGCAATTCCACTACCCATGCAAACTAGGGATGCAGCCCTTTATTTCAGATAATAAACCTGCATATAGAAAACATAGCCTGCCAAGACAGCTCACAAGAGAGTACATGGCTCTTGATCCCTAAAGTTTCTGTTCTGTCATAATTATTGTTTTTCTTCAGTGTAAATATTTAAGGACTGTTTCAATTGAATACATTTATGCCATTCAAAAATTTCCAGACACCTCATGCAATGATGGTGCTTAGAAGATTGATGTATGTTATCACTTACAATTTGTAAGATAAGGATATATCTAGTTTCACGTACTCTCATTCTAGTGTGTACATATTTTCAAAGTTTTCCTATATTAATGGGCCTCTATCACATCTTTTCAGCAGCACAATTTTGGTTGACAACATGATGAGGTGAAAATTACAGTACTCACAATACATTCTTTAATGCAATGAAAAGTAACACCCATTGGGCCAGATTGTGGCCTGTATCAGTTAGAGATGGGAAGGCCTGGGAAAAAATTGTTTTTTCATTTTTTTTTCCTAAAGCAGGTTTTGTTTTTTTCTGAAAAAAAAAAATTGTGTGGAATATGTGCTATAATATAATATATCTATGACATGGTATTCAAAACTATATACCATAAAGACCATAATAAAAGATTTCTGAGACTTTTTGTAAACTCTTAAATTATTGCTTCTCTCAGCTGAAGACAAGGAAATCCTGGAATACAGTTCAAGTAGCACTGTCCTTCTCAATGCAGTTCTCAAACAAGAGAAACATACATTTTTGCTACTAGTGGACACTGAAGGGAAAAGGCTCCAGTTTAGTTTGTTGTGGGCACCAACCTGTTCCTCCTACCATTGGGTGAGTGTTGGGATACATTAGATGACAGTTTCTGTCCTCCTCTCAGGCCTTGATTGACAGGTTAGAGGGTAAATGTGTCTGACAAATTAGTTTAGCTTTATAACCTTTAAATTATTCCTATTAATGTTCTCCACCATCACTGCATAATGTTTCCTTATAGTCTGATTAGTAAATAGTTTTTTTTCTTTTGTTCCTCTCAGTAAAATGGAGAAACCAACATCTAGAGTTTGGAAACATTTCCACAGTGCAGTTTCTGCTGAGAGCAAAGCTGCAATTTGCAGTGTAATAACATTACTTTCAATTTGTTAACCTACTCCACATTGAATTTTTTTTAATTTTTCTGAAAAATCTCAATTTTTCTGTAAAAAAAAAGGAAAAATGTGTTTTTTGTTCTCATGGCATAAACATTTCTAGAAATTTTACATCTCTATTGCCCAGCCATTAGCAGTATTAAATTGTCAGCAGGATCAGACAGCTGACAGCATAAGCTGTCAGAACAAAGCAATTACCATCACATTCATCCTTTTGGTGTTGCATGAAACTCCCCCTGACATTTCTACCCTTTCTGGGAATGGACAGTATGCATGCGCTCTACCTTCATTGATCTGAGCAACCTACTGGCGAGCTTGGCATTTTCCACATCTAGGAGTCAAGAAGTCCTGTATACAGTGTCTGAAAAAGTATTCAGACCTCTTGAAATGTTCCACATTTTGTCATGTTACAACCAAAAACGTAGATTTATTTTATTGGGATTTTATATGATAGACCAACACAAAGTGGCACATAATTGTGAAGTGTAAGGAAAATGATAAATGGTTTTTAAATTTTTTTAAAAATAAATATGTGAAAGTTTGGTGTGTATTTGCATTCAGCCCCCCTGAGTCAATACTTTGTGGAACCATTTTTTGCTACTATTACAGCTGTAAGTCTTTTTGGGGATGTCTCTACCAGCTTTGCACATCTAGAGAGTGACATTTTTGCCCATTCTTTGCAAAATAGCTCAAGCTCTGTCAGACAGGATGGAGTCTGTGAACAGCAATTTTCAAGTCTTGCCACAGATCTCAATTGGATTTTGGTCTGGACTTTGACTGGGCCATTCTAACACATGAATATGTTTTGATCTAAACCATTCCATTGTAGCTCTGGCTGTATATTTCGGGTCGTTGTCCTGCTGGAAGGTGAACCTCTGCCCCAGTCTCAAGTCTTTTGCAGACTCTAACAGGTTTTCTTCTAAGATTGCCCTGTATTTGGCTCCATCCATCTTCTCATCAACTCTGACCAGCTTCCCTGTCCCTGCTGAAGAAAAGCATCCCACATGATGCTGCCACCACCATGTTTCACGGTGGGGATGCTGTGTTAAGGGTTATGTGCAGTGTTAGTTTTCCGCCACACATAGTGTTTTGTTTTAGGCCAAAAAGTAAAATTTTGGTCTCATCTGACTAGAGCACCGTCTTCCATGTTTACTGTGTCCCCCACATTGCTTCTCACAAACTGCAAAGGGGACTTCTTATGGCTTTCTTTGAACAATGGCTTTCTTCTTGCCACTCTTCCATAAAGGCCAGATTTGTGGAGTGCACGACTAATAGTTGTCCTGTGGACAGATTCTCCCATCTGAGCTGTGGATCTCTGCAGCTCCTTCAGAGGTTCCATGGGCCTCTTGGCTGCTTCTCTGATTAATGCTCTCCTCGCCCAGCTTGTCACTTTAGGTGGACGGCTATGACTTGGTAGGTTTGCAGTTGTGCCATACTACTCCATTTTCGAATGATGGAATGAACAGTGCTCTGTGAGATGTTCAAAGTTTGGGAATTTTTTTTTTTTATAACCTAACCCTGCTTTATACTTATCCACAACTTTATCTCTGACCTGTCTGGTGTGTTCCTTGGCCTTCATGATGCTGTTTGTTCACTAATGTTCTCTAACAAACCTCTGAGGGCTTCACAGAACAGCTGTATTTATACGGAGATTAAATTACACACAAGTGGACTGTATTTACTAATTAGGTGACTTCAGAAGGCAATTGGTTCCATTAGATTTTAGTTATGGGTATCAGAATAAAGGTGGCTGAATACAAATGCACACCACACTTTTCAGATATTTATTTGTAAAACATTTTGAAAACCATTTATCATTTTCATTCCACTTTACAATTATGTGCCACTTTGTGTTGGTCTATCACATAAAATCCCAATAAAATACATTTAAATCTTTTGGTTGTAACACGACAAAATGTGGAAAATTTCAAGAGGTATGAATACTTTTTCAAGGCACTATATATCCAGTGGTAGAATATAATAAGGGAGAAGGGAGCTGTCTAGGGCTCCAAACTAAAAGGGGGGTCCATGACGGTGCTAAAAATGTTCTGCACTTTGGTGCTCTTCATTGTAAATCAGTTTTACAGTTGTAAGTACTTTTGTTTCAGAAGCTGATCAGGAATGAAAGTCTTTGTATTACTCTCCATATTAATTTTGTGTTCAAAACTCTACAGAAATGTTTTACAAACCTATGTGGAGAGCAAAACACACATATCTGTGTACACTGAACATTATGCTACTGGTTGGCAGGCCATGAATTGAAAACAACTTAAAATACAAATTTCAACCATCAGAAAAAATATATGAGTTTTAAATTAAGGGATGCACTTTCTGTTGTTACTGTCTTCTTAGTAGTTACCCCCAGGGGCGAACTGACAACTCATGGGGCTCCCGAGCAATAGGGGATCATGGGGCCCCTGTGTCCTTGCCCAAACTCAAAAAAGCCTATGAAAAAGGTACCAGGGGTATCTCATGGGGCCCCCTACTGACCCCGGGCCCTCGGGCAGTGCCTGAGTTTCCAAATGGTCAGTCCACCCCTGGTTACCCCTTACCCCAAGTAAAGTAAAGTAAGCCTGGGCAACAAAGAGCCAAGACTCAGGAACACAGACACCAAGCATGTACCTGATTTCTGAAGGGTGATAAATGCTTACAGTCTAGGGGCCTACGTATAGCAGAGACTGGATACTGCTGTCATCCCTTAACTGGACATTGCAATGTTTACCCCTCATGCCATTTTACAAGACCTTCATAAAATGCGGTCCATAGGGCAGAGCCTACAGTATCCTATAGAGCTGTCTCTACAAACAGCTTTAGAGAAAACATCATGACTGGAGGAGAACAGACTGGCCACATGACTTTGGCCACCTCCTCCTGTGTCTTTTTATTCTCTATTTGTTGTAATGGTTTGAAATAAATCTGTTAAACACACCACCCTTCTTTATACATGTGCTGGTATTTTATTTTTTGTATCAAGCAGTAGTATGGCCATGGTAAAGCCATACCGCTCCTTTATAAATGAGGCCCTAAGTGGTAGACTACTAATTTATACTGCAAAGCAACAGATTTTCTAGTTTAACTGTCACAGGAACACTTTAATGTTTGAAATACCTTAACCATTTTTAGATTTAGCTTTCACGTGGCAGTTTTTTTCTAACACCTAGTATATTTTAATGGAGCATCAAGTACCTGGGTGGTGTATCGAATAAGCAATTCACATTAAATTATCCACATGCTGCTGGGGAGAGAAAAGAGGGGGAAAAAGTTAGTTTTTATTGTTTTGCAAAAGCTACATCAGTAAACACTTATTGTTTTAATTACCTGCTGTCATGGTACAAGGCAAAAAGGTTGTAAAGCAAGATAAAATCTTTCATTTAATGGAGTGTCTGGCCTGTCGTGTGGAAGGCTGGATTTATTGGCTTACATCTGGCAACTTAATTTTGCTTGTAAAAAAAAAGACTTTTTTGATTCATAAATGACTCCAGGGAGCTGGCCTGCAGGGGAATGCATCGTATCCCTTTGATATCTGCAGCTTTTAAAATATTCTCTGAAATTACCTTTTAAATCTTCTCCTTTTTTCAGATTTTAATTGCTCTTTCATGCCTTAATTTCGACACCAGCATGCCAATTCCACTAGGCTAAGAACGGGCACAAAATGGCATCTGCTGAAGATAAATATCTCTCATCAACCTTTTCAATCCTTTCAATTTCTGGTCTATACACTTAATGCATTCGCCCTGTGACCCATATTAAAATGCCGCAAAGAATTCTGGATAAGAATTCCATACAGAAGCAGCCAATCAAGAGGTGAAAACATGTGTACATGTTCACAGTGATCTTCCTCCCGTTGTTCTAGTTTAAATACCAGGACAATTTATTTGTCTCTACAAAGATTTTTTTAAGTCCTGTTTACTCTAATTAAAGCTATGTAAATTACTGCTATTTGCTTTTTTTATTTTGGGAATATAAGGATGTTTTCTCATTAGAATATCTGAAAGTATTTTTCAATTAAGTTCCCTTCAATGCGGTTTAAAAATAATTGGGTATTCAAGGAAAACAGCAAGGTACAGTAGTTGATATTATAGTACAACTTGTACAAATGTTAATGCGTGCATACAACTTGCAAAACCGCATTGAAAAATGAACTGATCTATGGCAGCTGATAGCGACATAAAACTAGGAAATAGGAAAACTAGTGTTTTCTTATCAACTGCTCCGTGAAATAAACGATATGAATTGTAATCAACTGCCATTTCAGTGTGTGAGTAGGTGCAGGAAAACACTCCAGGTGCAGAATAACAGAAATATATTGCAACTGAAGTTCAGCAATATAGAACAAGCCTAACAGGAAGGCAACCCAAAGGGGGGCACTCACAAGATGTCACAGCAATGTATCAGTAGCAGAAGGTCTCAGGTGTGCTGACAGGAGCAGAATGTGGCCTGGACAGTCCGTACCCAAGTGGGGAGGCTTTCAAGTAGGATGGCGTGTCCATGCACCTTCCCTACTCCTCTGGAACCTGTCCCTTACATTAAGCACTGTTTCTGACAGACAGGAGTCCTGTCCTTATTCTAGCCACACGCAAAATGCATGCCAAGCCCGGAAGCCAGAGTTTTACACTCTGCCTGACCCTGACATGGGGTACCAGCGTCCAACTGGATAGCCCTGTGACCCACGAAACCATAAAGGTTCCTCTTGACTTCCTCTCTGTTCGGTGCCATCTGCAGTGCAGAAATAGACTGCACCTGCCTACAAGTGTATAGAATGCTCATAAGTAAAAAATGTTTCCAAATACTGTAGTTACTAACTTTTAAAAGTGAGGTACTTATGGATTCTAGTGCTGTCTTCCCACAGCCAACAAAAAACAGTATCCCCCCCCCCCCCAAAAAAAATGTAACTCAGTTACAGGCTGGGGGAGTGAATGAGCGGTTCTTCACTTTTTGAGTAAATTTCTGCTTCAACAGAACACATATTTATTATATATACACTGTAAGTATTGAGAGTACAATTACATTGGTACAGCATACAAATTATGTATTAATTTAACCACTTTGTGATTTCAAAACATCATTAGACTTTGATATTCATAAGGGTAACCTTTCTGGAACATTGTTCTCGCTTTCTATGGGAATAATATTTAATTTAACATTGTTTATATACCAATATTAGAATATTAGAATTTATTCTAGCCATATTACACTGAGGCAGATGAATGTCCTGTTTGCTAAAATTTGTGGAGTGCGATGATCTGTAAAGCTGAGCTTTGGTATTTAAAAAAATACACTTGAAATAAGCCCCCCCATCCCCCATGCTGCAAGGGTAAAAGCTTGTTAAGTCTAGAGGATGATGAATAGCTGTAATGCTTCCTTTTTTTTTCTCACTCCTCTGGCAGCCAGCAATCTTTTCTTCTCTTCAATGCTCTATGTTGTAGGCAGGACCTCACCATCCTCACATACAATGCAGGAATGCTGGTCCTGCATTGTATGTGATGACATCAGAAAGCCTGTGATTGCCAAAAAGGCAAAAGGAAGAGGCTTTGGAGAACTTGTTTTACAGCAAGGTGGAAGCCTGCCATAGTGAGGAATGAGGTAAGTATTACAGTTTATTCCTATATCCCTAGAATTAACCATCATTTACTCTTATATTGCAGGGGGCGCCACAGCAATGGTAATTTGTGCTGCTGCTCAATAGGGTTTCGAGAAATTGACAGCAGCAACTTTTGCATATTCATGGAAAACTGAAACTGACACACAACACTGCTCTCAACTGGAAAACAAAGTCATGATACTAAGGAACTGCAAGATTTTGAAGAAAAGTATTTAATCTGAGGTCTGTAATTATGGTTATTGCAGGTGATAGAGAGGTCATAGCTGAACTTCACAAGAAGTTGTGTAGGACCAGAGTTCACAGTTCGCAAAACCATGCCCTAGTTCCAAAGTCTGGTTTTGGAATCCAGTGTCCAATCCTAAAACTTGCTCCAATCATTCTCCTTTTTTTTTACCCCCTGTGCAACTATCTTTGGCTATGATTCAGCCATTGCCCACCTCCTGCAGATGGCTCTTACTTTTTTCCAGCCACAGCTGATTGCTTTCTAGGCAAGTCACTCAGCCTGAGCCCCTCCTCCTGCAGCCAGGTCTGTCAGTGTTGCGGTTGTGATGCTTAAATAAGTCACGTAGCTTGTGTCCATCTGCCCTTTTCCAAAGATAGACTCACTCACTAAAATCATAGCTACCAGATCCTGTTCCATGCCATCTGTGGTTTTTCCAGTACCAAAAGGTGGCAATCCCAATCCCATAGCCTCAGCCTCTCCTCCTGCAGCCAGGTCTGTCAGTGTTGCGGTTGTGGTGCTTAAATAATTCACGTAGCTTGTGTCCATCTGCCCCTTTCCAAAGATAGACTCACTAAAATCATAGCCACCAGATCCTGTTCCATGCCATCTGTGGTTTTTTCCAGAACCAAAAGGTGGCAATCCCAATCCCATAACCTGAGCCTCTCCTCCTGCAGCCAGGTCTGTCAGTGTTGCGGTTGTGGTGCTTAAATAAGTCACGTAGCTTGTGTCCATCTGCCCTTTTCCAAAGATAGACTCACTCACTAAAATCATAGCCACCAGATTCTGTTTCATGCCATCTGTGGTTTTTCCAGAACCAAAAGGTGGCAATCCCAATCCCATAGCCTGAGCCTCTCCTCCAGCAGGCAGGTCTGTCAGTGTTGCGGTTGTGGTGCTTAAATAAGTCACGTAGCTTGCAGGGGCGGACTGACCATTTGGAAACTTGGGCACTGCCCGAGGGCCCGGGGTCAGTAGGGGGCCCCATGAGATGCCCCTGGTACCTTTTTCATATGCTTCTTTGAGTTTGTGCAAGGACACAGGGGCCCCATGATCCCCTATTGCCTGGGGGCCCCATAAGTTGTCAGCCGCCCCTGGTAGCTTGTGTCCATCTGCCCTTTTCCAAAGATAGACTCACTCACTAAAATCATAGCCACCAGATTCTGTTTCATGCCATCTGTGGTTTTTCCAGAACCAAAAGGTGGCAATCCCAATCCCATAGCCTGAGCCTCTCCTCCTGCAGCCAGGTCTGTCAGTGTTGCGCTTGTGGTGCTTATATAAGTCACGTAGCTTGTGTCCATCTGCCCTTTTCCAAAGATAAACTCACTCACTAAAATCATAGCCACCAGATTCTGTTTCATGCCATCTGTGGTTTTTCCAGAACCAAAAGGTAGCAATCTCATACCCATTGTGTTTACAACTTTATCGCAATTACTCCCACACATTTACAACCAGCATCCTTTATTTTATAGTCATAACTCTAAAAAAGGTTTTAAATACTAACAGTACATCTAGGGTACAAAGATTTTTATTATAAAGAAAAAACTTAAAGGATCTGATTCTGAGAACTTGTAATCAGTTAATTACATGTAAAGATAATGTTCAGTATATGAAGTCTTTTTTTTTTATGTCACATGCCTTTATTTATATTTTAGTCCGGCTTTACCTGCAGAGTGATATATGCAGGAAAAGCAACAATAAAAGAGTTTGGAATAAACTATGACAATGCCAGGGATGCTTCCAGCAGTCACTAGGTATGTACTGCTTCTGCAACTATTCAAGCATCATTATGCAGGCATCCTTAGCAGTG